ATTTTTCTAGTCGATTTCAAAACGAAAAGGACAAGAAGTATTTTTTCATGTTAGTCATCATATTTAAGGTCACAACTTCCTGGTGTGAACCTATTTTAGGGTTCTTGTTTTTATTTGATTGAGTATAGGTATACTTCTTAAGTGACCCCATTAAAATTATTCAAACCAATTTATTATTGGTTATTTCGAAGGGTCATATTATACGAGTACTTTTTAATCTTTTGAAGAAAAAAAATTGAAAGTAAGTAAAGTTAAAAACATCATTAATATTAAAATTATTATGAACAGTCAGAAGTTCCTAAACTGTAAATTTGAAATGAAATAAAAATTATATCTGAATGAAGTCCCTTTGTAATAAAACGAAATTCAACAAAATTCTCGTGATATTTATTAATATATTTGCTTATTGTGAAGACTTAAACCAAATCATGGTTTTACCAATAATTAATTTATATTAATTTTATCGCTTTTTTTCCGACGTCATGCGATCTCATTATCTTGAACAATTTATGATCTAGGCACGTTTTCTCATGGGTACTTGCTCTTTGTATTCCTGTTATGATATCTTAAAGGTATCTTGAATTCTCTTACAACAAATAACATCAAATCATTACAAAGCTTCATTATCATTAATTGTAAATTTACTTTAAATTAAAAAAAAACAATAAATTGATAAAGTAGAATGCCATCACGGGCATGATTTTGTGAATTAAGTACTTTTTTTATTAGATAAATATTGATAAGAAATTTCCTCGACGATTCACAAATGTTGATAATTTTTACCTATGAAAAATACAAAATTTCACTAAACGCTTACGACATGATCGGTGACAAATTCTATTAATCTACTAAGCTATTTCTAGTATTCGTCGTGTGCAAAGTATTTTAACTTAAAATTTTCACATTTGCATTTGAAGAGTTTTCTTACCCAACATCCGACACTCAAACTGTTCGTCAAGCCATCCCACATAGAGAAAGGGAGTTCGATGAATATTTAGCGGTGTTGAATTGTGTTTTCTTGTATCTTAATATGTATCGTGTTGTTTTTTATTCACTGTAAGACTCATCTTTATTGACAAGGATTTTTTTATTAAATTTTCTTTCTATTTAGCTTCTCTATTACTTTCTGGCAAAGGTTCTCCATTTCTGGTAGTATATTTTTTATTTCTTTCTTAATTGTTTTAAAGCGTGCAACATTTGGAAATTAGATAAGGTGAGTTCGTTTGATATTGGGCTATGTTGAAACGTGTTTTCTAGCATCATGATCTGCATTGTGAACATTTATTTTAATCGAGGTTTTGGCAGATATTTCTTTTGTTATGTTTTTATCAACTTCCTTTTCTTTCTTTTGCAGTTAGGGCGTGCATCATTTGCAAATTGGGTAAGAGCGACGCTTTCGGATTTATTTGACAATACATATTAATGTCAAATAAATCCCGATTTAACAAACGTTCTAAATCCAGCTGGTGTGACGAATCACAATTTTGTCAAAAGAAATACTAATATACAGTCCTCGGGGGCATTATCGAATCCATGAAGGGCCTCTCGATCTTTCATCGAGCATTCACTGCCTTGGACGAGTATAAAGTGTTTCCAAGGTTGGATCGGTGGCGAGCCGCGAATGCCACTTAAAACTTGAAAAGGAAATGACTGTTCGATTAGAAACAATTTTCTAGAGTACTCTGTGTAATGTTTTATTATGGCTTAAGAGTTCTGACTACTTTTTAGCGTCAATAACCTCTATACACGAACCTAAACTAAATCAATATGGAATCCTTATGCTAAAGCCAATTAAATCTAGAATTAAGTTGTATAACAAAATTCTGTTGTTCTGAACGAAACTTCGCTGGTAAACGTTTATCCTCTTCCAATCCACATAAGTAAAGATTATACTCATAATCTTCCTAATAAAAAAATACTTCTAATAAGATTTGAACAAGTGACAAATGAGATTTTAAAATTTACGAATTTCGATCTACCTATATTATTAAGTCATCGAACTCGAATCGAATTCGAAATTTGTATGATAGAAAAATATTGAGTAGACGTCAAATAGAACAATTGATACAAGTGAATCTAATGACGATGATAATCCTATTGATTATATATATTTACTACAGAATGTCTTGTCTTATTTTATATAGGTACCTAATTCTTATAATAATGTGTAAATATATTAAAAATATGTAAGCATGTACAGGTGCTTAACCTCATTCAACTCGACACGGATTATTTCAAACAAAACTCTTTTACTCGCAACGAATAACATTTTTGGTGTTACTTTGATACCTTTTTCACGCTACTTGTGTTTTTATAATCTATGTGTTTTTAGAACTGGTAAGGCGAATGCACTGTAAAATATTTTTAGAACACGTGTTACTCTTTATGTTATATTCTCTCTTTCTTCATCTTCTTAAGTTGAGAGTAACGTCATAATAAACTGTGTTATTACGCACTAGGCAGATATTAAACTGTGTGCGAGCGGTTTAATGCTTCTGCAAATATGACGTATCCCTATGTTGCCGTCATAAAAGTTAAAGATTAGAGAACGACCAACTCCGAGATTATCAAACATAGAAAAGACATGTATTTTAATAATAAGGGCCACTCAACTGTTAGATAAGTCGACCAATAGACGAGTAGCTAATTATGAAAAACGTGGCCAGTTGATGGTTCATTTAATATTTTGTTTTCAAAAACGATCGCGTGCCGCGGCGCTTACCCACTACGCCGCACGAACTAATTGGTATAATCCTAAACTCTGTAAAAATTACTAGTCAGTAAAAATATTAAAATCCGTTTGTAAGTATTGAACATATCAATTGACTTTATCCATCAAGCATATAGGTACAGTACACTTTCGTTAGCCTCGAAACAGATACACATTGACACACGATCTCAGTAACTTAGCTACCAAAGCATTGAACCATAAATAATGGATCAATTTCAATGCATTGATTTGATAAAAGAATGCGATTAAGATCTTTGCTCTTGCTTATATTTATTTAGCAAGTGATTTTATTTCGACTTGTAATTAAAACTTCCGATAGAATTGCGCAATTCGGTAATAATATAATGATTTCTCCTATCTTAGGAGAAACTAAAAAGTAAATAAAATTAATTTAACAAATCTTTTGCGTATTTTTAAACAAAACTGTTATAAGGGCTGTAATTCAGTTTTGTTATGTTGCTAAATAGTAAGAAAACTCAGATTCATTCTCTCAAAAATTGAGGCAAATTAGTATGCGAGTAAGCGCCGTACTATAATTTGGTTTTAAACACGAAATTGAAGCCAATTTCATGATATTCCACTCCATTAGCGCGGGGGTAGTTCTTAATTAACGACAGTTCCACAACGTCGCTTCTCCATTGATTCGGGGAATGTGAAAAGAGTGACGAAGCCGACCTACAATTCGAATGTAGAGGTCTGGGGAGACTGAGACAAATTGCACCACCATATTTATGGCGAATTGTCTGAAGGTAATGACAGAAGTCAAGAAACTGGCGAGCATGTATGAAGAGTTCTGAATATCAAGGAAGCGTAAGACATGTGTAAATCTCTTGAGGCACTCAGAACTCTACCTGTCAGAATTGTAGTCGTAATTTGTAGCATTGACTGTAAACATGTGTTATGTGAGGGCCGTCCTTTGTGACACTCTAAGTTTTCTGCCTGTCAGATAGTTAAAACCGTAGCGCAATTTATAGCTTTGCAAACTATAAACATATATATGGGTGACCTACTGTTTAAAGTAGAGCTCCACTCCGCAACGCTGCAATAGAGATACAATAAGGTAATACCTATACAGCTAAACTACATTCGTGAAGTCAGTGTAGTGTTCACTACGCACCTTATCCACAAATATCTTCAAAGTTCGGTTGAAACTAGTACTAATTTAGTTAATAGAACTAATTTAACTGCTAACAAAGCAAGTAGCGGTACGTACGAGAGTATGTGGAGTGTTAAAACACACGTTTGAAGTGTTTGGGCGATAGTGGGCGCTTAAAGCGCTACTACATTATGTACGCTTTGAGTTCTCTACAACATTTCCATGCCAGGAAATTGGGCAAATATTTATTATGGTTATTGAAATAAAACAACAAAAAAAACTATTATTAATGTGAAGACGAGCAAAATTTATATGAATCAAGATCTATAGTTGTCTTAATACGCCTAATTGACAACCGTAAAATCATCATTTAACTATGGACGGACTACCCTGAATGGTGGTAACGGATGATTTGGTGGACTGAGCGTCAACACATAAAATAAAACGGAACGAAATGAATGCACCTCTCTATAAGATTAATTTGTAATTGATTACCTACCCGTAAACCATTACGATCATTGGAAAACTCCATAATGCCTTTGTCTATAAAGAGACTCGCGTATATATCAATCCCTATAAAACTGAGTATTATTATTGAAAAAATTATAATTTTGAGGATAACTATGATATTTTCCTTTGGATTTTTTTTTATAAATTCACGACTTTAATGTGACACAACCCATACAAATAATATTTATTTGAAAGTTATTTCCAAAAGTCAATTGAAACTTTGTGTTTTGGTGTACACGAAGTCTTAAATTCTGACACTTGTCGGTGCGTCATTAGTTGTAAGTCCTACGTCTAAAAACTCGAAAGTCCTTGTGTCTAGTAGCAACAAAAATCTCGACAAGGGCATATTTGACTCCCTTTTTTCTCTTTCTATACTATTACGATGATATATTTAGAAAACTTTCTAGAATATTAAAAACGATATATCCTTATGTTTGTTGAAAAAGGAAAACAATGTAAATGCTCAATTGTTACATTACAATAAACATGTTTATAACAGATTTTACTTATATATCATACTATCTTAAAGTGGAGTTTTAATGGTAAATTACTTCTTTATTAACATACAGCCAGTCGCATAAACGTTCATTAAAATAATATATATAGCTAAAATATAATGTGACGCAGCTGATAAAATATTACTATATGATATTTATAACTCACCTAAGTCAGAGAGTTTGACCTTTTCCAAAAACGGGTCAGCAACCGGTAGCTAGAAAAAAAAACAAGAAGAGGTTTTAGTAATGAATATTATTAAAAAACATACATTTTAACATGCTTAACCGTGTCATGTCATAAACAAACTGCAACTTATTTTTTTTAATTTACATATTATGATATTTGATCAATACATTTACGGAACACCTGATTGCAATTTACAAACACCTAATGTCATTAAGTCGTTTAAACAGTTCCAAGCCTATACCAAAGACAATTCCAAGTCTATATATAAACATCGCTTCCCGCTGTCTGCACGCTGAGATCTTTTTCAACTGCATAACGGACTTTAATGTTATTTGCATCTATATTCAGTGATACAAAAGGAAGGTTTTATATATAATACGAGGTTTTATATATAGAAGTCGCTGTCGAAAATCTAGAATTAACTATAATTATTTAATATATGTTTGTCAAATCTTGCAACTAAATCAACGGGCGATTATCATCAACTAATGAAATATACATGTTTAGTTCTGATGACAATTAGTGGTTAGGTAAGATCTAATAAGGCGGAAGGTCCAAGACGGCTCGCGTGGTATTGTTATCTATACATATATAAAAGAGGATGTCCTGACATACAACGCACAGCCTAAGCCACTGTCATAGAGATTCGAAATTTCGAGGGTATATTCCTCTTATTCCCTGGAGGTGTCAAAGAGGGTGTAAACGTTTGTATGAAATAACTTTGTTTTTAGACATATATCGATGAAAATTGTTATTTGGCTAGTTTAAGACTTTAGGGAAGTAAATGGCTATATTTATTTCCGAAACTTAGCTCTTAAAAGGATAAATAAAATGGGAGTGAAATTTTTTTATAGATAATCAAAGAGGGTGAAAACGTTTGTATGAAATTACTTTGTTTTTAAACATATATCGATGAAAATTGTTATTTGGCTAGTTTAAGACTTTAGGGAGGTAAATGGCTATATTTAATTCCGAAACTTAGCTCTTAAAAGGATAAATAAAATGGGAGTGAAATTTTTTTTATAGAAAATCAAAATTTTACCGTATCAACCATTTGTTACAATTTGATTTGTCATTGTAATAAATCTATCTAATATTATTTAAAAAGATTTCCTTATATAGTGATAAAATTGATATTTGAGTACATAATTGATAACAAAAATAACATTTTAAAGAAATATTTTTGAAAATATTCATCTACCAATAATTTTATATACGAATGAAAACATAAACTATATATTATGTGCTATACTACATGGCGTTCAGTACACTTCTACAAGGCACTGTTTTGAACAAGGTTGAGATTTCAAATAAAATTTAGTAAGAATTTTAATGGGTTGTGGTGCGGTGGCGTTGTATATAATATATTTTTGGTTGACTAAAAAAATATTATCTCGAACTATTCCGTGGCCATGGCCCATCCTTCTTAACCAATCCATAAGGAAGGCCTGAGCGCTTGCAGTGATGTAAAAGGGCTGATGATGGTGATACTAGGTGGTATTTATTCTTAACCATAGTATTTTGCGTAATCGTTTAGCTCATAAATAAATTGCGTAGATTTAAGTTTTATGTGAACATTATGGTTTTCGGATAAATAGCTTTAAAGATAAATAACCTCCTTTTGTACTTTAAATATATAAAATACATATAGTTTTTTGATGTACTGTCTTAGAAGTTGAACATCACAGTAATATAATATCGCGGATATTTTATTATTAATAAAATTTAATAAAATCAATAATTGTTTCGAATCGTGATTCTTAACAGTAAACCAGTTCCCTAGGCTTTGTATAGTCGTTCTATAGAAGGACGTTGTGATGGCTAGTCAGCTGATCGACGTTTAGCCGTGCAAATTAATGGCGCCTAGTCTATTCTGTAATAGATATTCTGACAATTAGACAGCTAGCCCTGCGGTAAGCTGCCGAATTGGACGTTCTCGTGAATCTTTTACCCAATTGGCTACGACATATTCATTATATATTAACAATTTAAGTTTTGAATTTCAATTTTAACAGCTGTGAGTTTCAAAGTCTACCAAACAGTCGTGATTTATATTGTTCTTAGTCTATGTTACTAACTGTTTAATAATCTCTTATTGTATGATGAAATGAGCGATAAGGGGAATCGTTTAATTATTCCATACAAATATTATACATGCGAAAGTAAGTCCATGAATATATCAGTTACGTTATTACGCCTAACCCACTAGAGTTGACTTGCGATAGGACAGAGGTTGCTTTTTATTGTAATATTGTGGGAGATTGAAATAAGAAATTAAAGTTTGTACGGAAGTTCGTCATTATCAAAGATATCATGAAACCTTATTTCAGTTATTTTACACGATATACCTAATAGATCAATATACGTTTCAGAAATGCTACCAAAAGTAACTATGCCACACGGACGAGGTCGCGGGCAAAAAACTACGAGTAGTATACATGTAAAACCTTCATCTTTAATCACTGTGTATATTGATGAAAATAACATTAAAATCCGTTGAGTACTTTAAAAGACCTCGGCATGTAGACAGCAGAATCCGCCTTTTTTAATACTATGTATAGCCCTAATGACCTACAAAAAAAAAACTTCTAATTCGATTTTTCCTTCGCGTTAAGGGTAAAACAAAAAGATATGAACGTACAAAATAAACTTTATATATTTTAAAATTTTATGTCTAATACTCAGTGCGTTATTACCTACTCGATAAAGTAGGCAGAATAATTTCCTTTGCCCTTGAAATAAAGCAATATTTTTCTTCTATATCTATCTGCATATCTTATAATGCGTCCCTTTTCAATAGCAATTACTTATTCTCTGTGTTTTCTAGAAAAATAGACATACCCATTTTTAAAGCGCCATTTTATAAGAAGAACTAACAACAGACATTTGTTTGAAAACAAATTTTTCTTTCTTCTTCTTATAGACTAAACTTTTGTCTCTTTGTCTTTATTGGTTGCTTTTAGCATTATTTTTTCATTTACCAACCATTTAGGGGCAATCACTAAATGGCAAACCTAGGAGTGGAAATATAATAAAGAATTATAAGAAATGCACGCCTACAGAAATATTTTTTCATCTTGTCCTAAGATTACCCATCCGCCCCACTATTAAAAGTGCCACCATGCTTTGATTATATTCAAAAGTGCGTAAGTTATAAAATCAAACTTTATAGAAACATTAATTCATAAAATCGATCCTTATGAATTCACTTAATTTTTTTTTTCTCTATATAAATTCCCTATTAAAACCAATATTTTCGTAATAATTCGCCGTGCAATGTATGGAAGATGCATGACTTTTTTGTACGAAACGTCTTATTGTTTTAATAATCTTGCCATCCTTTCCCAACAAATAAGGTAAACGAACAATTACTTTTCACGAAGAATTGCCTATTGAAATTAATAAGAAAATAATCAGAGGCGAATGAAACGAATTTTATTATGTGTTTGACGTTTCCAGACGTGGCTTTCTAACGTCAAAAGGAAGCCTTGACAGTTGATCATTAAGGGTTTCATATTGACAGATCAATTAGAGCTTGAAGTAATGCAATAATACATTATCAGAATTCTCATGTCACCTGTCAATCATTAATGAAGTTTCAAGAAAATTCGTTTCTTTATATATTTGCCCCATATTTTAAGTCTCGGATCGGTCTTGATCTTCTATCGGCTTTATTTTCTATTCTCGTATTAATTTATTTTTAAACTTTCAAACGCCATGACGCTTGATCTGTCTGGGTTACATTTTGATAGGACATGAAATTATTGAAATTATGTCGTCAAGTCGCTGGTGAGCAAAGCCTCCATCGGCGCATTCTATTCTGATTCATCTGCGTTTACCTTAACAGTAAGGACTTCGACTACTTAAGTTCCATAATGAATAATTCCAATACTTCGAGCATAGCTTCATTTTTGTATTCTGAATGAAAATGCTTAAAAAATGCTCCAGCCCGAGTTACTCTGAGATGGGAACTTTTTAAATGAAGAATGTTTTTCGTATAGCATTCATTCATTCATTAATCATCAGCCCTTTTACGTCCCCACTGCAGGGGCTCAGGCCTTCCTTATGGAGTTAAGGAGGATTTGCCATGACCCTCCACGCTGGCCCAATGCGGATTGGAGGGTATTAACGACTGCAAATGCAGCCGGGACCGACGACTTTACGCACGGAGTAGCTCGAGATAATAATTTTTTGGTCACCCATCCCGTGACCGACCCTTGCGAAAGTTGCTTAACGACAACGATCGCGGGCCGCGGCGCTTATCCACTTCGCCACCGAGCTACTCGATATGCATTGTGAATGCCAAAATGATCAAATATAATATTCATTTTTGTAATTTAAAATCTGTGCGATCAAGACAAAACAGTTATGAAAAAAAAGAAGTTAACACGTGATTCTGTTGAAAACACTCAAGTTTATCGCCCCCGAGTAAAGATTTACATGCAATGAAACACAAAAATGATGAAGGCTTTGAAATCATGACGAAGAAATGACACTAAAATGTCAATATTACTGAAATAAGAGCGGGAATTAACTATTCTAACTTTATATTTTGTATATGAAGCGTAACTATCGTATTAGAAACATATAACTCGATAACAAAATCAAATCACCATATAAAAAAAGTTTTATTTTAACAAAGGAAGTAATGTTGGCATTTCTGATTGCAAATTTAGATTTAATACTGTTAAACATTTTAAATTTGTCAACAACTGAGATAAGGACGTATGACAACAATGCAACAAAAAAAAAGGAAATCATTTTCAATTTTTACGTAAACGATATCATTTCTTTTTATTTTACGTTTGGTACAATTCCCATATCATAATTGGTACCATTACCATATCAACCTACGTGAGTGAATTTTCGGGATTTGAGTCCCGATTGCATCAGTATCTATACTAATATTGTAAAGAGGAAAGATTTGATGTTTGTTTGAATATAAAAATTCTTTCACCCACGGGTAGCTTCATCATACGGGGTTTACGTAGGCTCTAATTTACACGTGTGAAGTCGCGAGAACAGCTAGTACCTACTTATATGGAGAGGTAAGATTGATTTGTTTGATTGTATCGAATTGGCCCCGAAATTATTATTGGACTGAGTTTAAAAATTATTTTACCTACGTATAGCTACGTCATACGGGGTTGACATAGGCATAACCCGCGGAACAAACAGCTAGTGTTAAATAAACTTGTCTGTATTGCCTAGCGTCAACGTTTTTTCAAATTTTCATAATAAACAGCTCTTTAATCTGGAATCTGATCCAAGTGATTCTATCACATATATGGATATGTGTCTGTCTATGATTTAATAATAAATCTATTCTATACGCTTGGCGCTGTCTGTACGCTGATACGTTTTAAATTACACAACGAATTTAAACGTAGTTTTCATCAATGCACAGTGATTGATTCGAGGGGAAGGTTAATTTAAGATCACGTGGGCGAAGTCGCTGGCGGAAAGCTAGTAAACGATATAAAAGAACAATAAAAAATTATAACACAATACCCATATTTAGTCATGGCACTTTACCTCGATACAATTCCTACGCGAATGAGGAAACTTTTCATATACTCATTCCCTTCAACAATTAGGAAGGAGAAAACGAATTCAACTTGAAGAGTTTTGAATCATTAAATGAATCAAGCATGAAGTCTATTGAAATAATAACTTACTCCCAGGTCCATTCGAAGGTAAGAAATAATTTATATAGAACGCTAACCAACGAGCGTACGACCGTGTTCTTCTTTTGATCTCACACTGTACTAATTTTAGACGAATGCGGTATAATTATGGACACAGCTTGCCCTGAGAGATACGACCGCGATACGGCGACAATTATCATCACGATGACCATTCAATAGAAAATAATACCTGTTGAATAGAAATGCAGCCAATAAGAGACACGGAATATTTAAACTATGTTTGTACTTGTCAATTAATTGGAATAATATCAACCTTTCAAACAGATGATTTTTAGCGACTCACAAAAATTTATTTATTATGATATTATGTTTATCATCATTGTAAAATAATATAAATTTAAATGTATTATATTCGTATCTTACTCTACCATCCATTAACATTGTTGATTTGAATTAAGAAAATGTTACACATAAATAAAGTATTGATAATGTAAAAATATAAGGTATATTAGCTAATAAATAGATAATGACTTGTGATATATTTTATGACGCCCCTGTGGTGAATTGAGTTTTAATTAACTAAGAGAATATTTTTATTTCCACGTCTTTTCACAGTTACGCTCCATTGGAAAATCTAAGCGGAGATGAGTGGCGCCGAGTTGCATTCATTAAACCTACTCGGCAAGTTCATCGAAATCAATCGAGTGGAAAAGTGTAGAGAGATATTCCGATTCACTTAGTATAAATCTCGACGCTCGATATTTTTTATTGAACTTTTCGTTAGTTTCGTGGTTTTATGAGTGTGCTACGTTTGAACTTCCATTAACTTCAACGAGTACTCCGTGAAGGAAACTTTTCGATTAGTGTGTGAGTAAGTGATCTGACATCAGTCATCAGAATCATCACAGCAAACAGGTTCGATCCGCTTGAACGCTAAAGCGCAGTTTCTCGAGTTTCCAATCTTACCTACGACGAAACAAGTCATGCATGATGTATACACTTTACTTTAAAAACCATTTTTAATTAGTGCACAATATTTACTATTGAGTTAAGTAACTTTAATAGAATGTATTTATGATGAAACAATATAGTATTACGATAATATTAATATTTGTAACAATGTCTAGTAAATAGATTGAGGGAGTGAATGATCGAAAGTATGCTAGAAGACTACATATTGTGCCGAAACCGAATTAATAGGTAATTGGGAAAAGGGCAAGCATTGACGATTACGATGTAGTAAAGAAAATACAGATATCTATTGTAAAAAATCGATAGTTAAACCTAGTTTATAAATCGTAACGTATTTATAAAGACATTTTCTTGCTTATTTCCGTCATTAGTAAGTTAAAAAAATAAAATTAGATTATGATTGGTAATGTTAACATAATACTAAAAGTGTGTAAAATATATCACTTAAGTGAAATGATATCTTTGTACATAAAAAAACCCCAAAATGAAAGATTGGTAGTGACACAAAAACTACTGAACGTAATTAATTCTATTCGAGTTAACATTTCATAATTATGGTCTAACGTTTTTATACAATTTTCCAGACGCAGAGGGTGGCATGAGTAAACATAGGGTGGTCTCTTTGACTAAATTATTTAGTAAGTTCGCGATAAAATTTATATAAATACAGTTTTGTAAGTTCGGGATAAAATTTATATGTAGTTACTAAACTTCGTTGGTGTACCAAACGTTTTAACAATCAGTACTTAGATAGAAGTATTTAAAAGGAAATATATTAAATAATTTAAAATTTATTCGCACTAATTCAATTCTTTTTGCTAATTCTTCCACATTATCATTCTTGTATATAAAAAACGTATACCCAAAATATACTCCAAATTCATATGTAAAACTTGATATTGACAAAAACGACGAAATCCATCAGTAGATGGAGTTTTCTAATGGACACAGTCTAAGAAGGGGATATTATACAATTGGCGGCCACAGCTATGTAGCAACTCACCCCCCTCGAGTCCCGGAACAGCATTGCGGCGTGGTGTGGGTCCAGGAAAGCGTCCGATGCCCGGTGTCTAATGGTGGGTACATTGCCAAGGGAGGAACGACGTTTCTCCTCCGCTTGCGACGCCACCCGTCGAAATTGTGCACCTGTTCGTAAAGAGACAATTGAGTAAATCTCATCTCAACTGGACATATTAAAATGGTCGCAATCTACTTCAAATTGGTACACTGTCTCTATACAACTATTTGTTGCGTTTTTTTAATTAAACTTTATGCCAAAGTTGTATTCTATATATAACTCGGTCTTTTATATTATCTATTTTTTAATTTAATAGGCTAATAAATAATAATATGCACTTATTATTTCCCTCAGATCGGAGCAGACAATAAGACCTTAATTGAATCTTCTTGGGTCTCTCAATTGACACCTTACATAGCATCCAATTAATTGGACTTAATTGTTTAATAAGTAAGAGAAAAAAAAATTGAATTTAACATTTGATAAATGCAAAATTCAAAATAGAACGAATCAGACACGATTTATTGTTATTTATGTCAGATTCATGGACATCTGATTGTTTGGCGAACATTAATATAATAAATGAAGCCTTGACAATTATTTAAATCAAGAAAGCCCTTATAAACTAAAATAGTAGGAGATAAAAAAATTCAGAGCAACCAATCGTACCATTTTTCGGTATCGCTAAACACTTTTGTGTTATTTTGAACACGGTAAGTAACAATTAATTGAAGTAAGCAATATCTCATTAATTATACACGGAGCGAAGATTACATACATTCACGTGGTTTATAGTGCAGAGCTTTGTCTTTGAACACAAAGTGAGTTATTTGAATACGGTAACGATACAAAACGTTTTTTTTTTTTTCAAGATAAGTAGGTCAAAAAATATAGTATAAAATAGATAGTGAATTTTATAATCGTAATAATAATTTTTTCCACCTCACCGAATTATTTATTGCCGACACGAAATAATCGCATCACAATTCTTAATAAAGAATCTCAACACCATTTTGCCATTGTACTGTATACCTGAAGTTCAATTTTGTAAGGTCTTTCTTAAACATCAATGGTTACAGTTAAATAATAATATTGGACTTCAGGTAGACAGTAAAAGGCAAAACACAAGTAGTCGAGGTTCTCTGTTAAGAATTGAGATGCGATTATTTCGTATCGGCAATGAATGATTCGGAATAGTCACGAGGTGGAAAAAGTTATTATTACGATTATTAAATTCACTATCCATTTTTTACTATCCTATTAGGACCCACGAGCCTCTTAAGAGGATTTGGTCACGTGACACGCCGTTCCCGCGAGCCTCTTAAGAAGTTCGCAAGCCAGCGGTCAATAAAAATATTAATGTATTTTTCAGTAATCTATCCATATAACGAGGAAACAGGAGCAAAGTAAGTGTTATAATATTTTCCCAAAAAAAAAATCAACATCGTGTGTAGATCGGGAGAAAAAATGGCGCGAAAGAAAGTTTGCTACTTTCAAACGCTAGATTATTGATTTTTTACTTTAAAAACATGTCTTTTAAACATCGATTATAATGGTTATACATATATTGATAATTAAAAATATATATAATAATTTATGTTGACTATTATAATTATCGATTACACACTTTTTTATTACAAGCCGCCGCCAGATGTTTACTTTCATGCGAACTATAAGGGATGGGACCGAAGAGACTAATATACAATCGAGATACGATTATTAACATAAGCACAGTTTGCCTGAAAGTAAGACTGATTCTTTTGGGGAGTTACAAAGCTGACAACGTGACCAGGCCCTATATAGTTACTTTCTTTTTATATGAACGATGGGTTCCGGGGAAGGCACGTACCCATCGTGTCACCCCAATGGCTCAAAAATTTATGTATGTATTTAAAGTAAGAAAACGACTTGGTAATCTAAATATTAAATAGGTTAGCTGGTCATGCATTAAATTCAATTTATTGAAATTATAACAAAACAAAATATATTTTAGTTCATTATTAAACTTAATTTTTTTTTTTTTTAATTTATTTAGCAATCCAATCAATTAGGTATACATAAATTTTTGTTTAGATGACACTTTGAAACCCACTAAGGTTTGTCCATAGTGCCGAGTATTTTTGCGTAATTTCATTACATATCTAAATTTACAATAGTTTAGAAAAAAGTTTTTATTCTAGTGATAATATACTGAGAATAGTTTACTGACATGCCAATATACTTTAAAGTTAAATCTTGATACTTATATGTTATTGTTAACTCTTCTAAAAATACCGCGACCTATGTTGCACTTTAGTCACAATGCGTAGAGAATTTGAATATCAACATTGGAGAGCGGAAAACAACATACTTAAATTTATTTATTTGTCACTTCAATAAAAATCATATTGAAAAAAGAGCAAGCATAAGACTGGTTTAAGAATGACGTTGACCGTCAGCGCTGACAGTCCAATATGTATGGGCTCTATAGAAACGTTCTATAGTTACAACGACCGCTCAGCGTTAACGAGCATCGTGCGCGGACGTAAGCGTTGCGCGTCGACGCTGCTAAGCAGTCAACGCTGATTTTCGCACGCGCACCTTCGCCTTCAGCGTCATGCTGAGCGCACGCCGTCAGCGTGTACACTCATGTGGATGACGATTAACACAGGAGAAGCGTGTAAGTGCATCTGATCCACTCTATAAAAATAAAGATGCTAAATCTAATCTTTAGCAAAAATGAATGAATGAACGTGCTGAGGTCATCTTTTACGTTGTCATTATTTTTGCATAAATAATTCACTGCAGCAATTTGAACACTAACAGAATTGGCCATGTTTGTACTTGGCAGCACGACACTGAAACGAGTATGCGCTGATAGGTACGCGCGTAGTCGTCAGCGTGGACGGTCCGTGTCCGTGCGTACACTAAATCCAGCCTAATAATACCTTTACAATTTGATCAATATCACGTCCACAACGCTATAATTAAAGATTCATTAAGAAATTAAAAATGCTTAAAATGTTTAAAATGCATTTTTAATCGAAAATACCTTTACATACATGGATTGACGTTCCCTGTGCACTTGAATAAAATTAAAACGCTACAAATAAGATAAATAAAATTATTAGTTGATAAAAATATAAAAAATCGTATAAAAATGAATATGTAAAATTGTTTAAACTAAGTGTTAGAACAATTTAATAATGGAGAATATAAAGTGAAACGGCCTTGTGGCTACCCAACCCGTCAATCAAAAAAAGGAAGTATTTGGTACCGAAAGCTAGGAACTACTTTGGACATCGTACAAGGCAATGGATTATACTAAAGATACACAACGAGCTGCCATCTGAATTGTTGAACGCGGTCAGCAAAAAAATCATTTATAAATTATATTTAAAAAAACATTATCTGTCAATATGCCCCTAATAGAAGATCTCACTAGAGTTGTATGAAAACATCAAAAAACTATATGTATGTATGGCATTGTATGCATATTGTATGTATAGCAATTGTATATGTATATGTACTTTAAGTTATGTATGTACTTATATATGTTAATAAGAGAACTACTGCCGACAAACTGCTGCGCAGTTTGGCAGATGTAACTCCATGTAATCAAATTGTAACTTTCTGATAGAAAATAAAAAAATAAGTATATTCTATCACTGCAGGAAAATTTTCATGCGAAATTCCGATAAATGAGGACCTCAATGGCAGTGTTAGCGCATATAAACTGTCTGTCATAGGATGAATGACCAATTAATTACGTATCTCCAGTTAATTTTTACTTCAAAACTACGTCTCGGTTGCATCTGCAGTCGATAACATTGACCAATTAGCACTGAGCCCGTGTGGGGGGTCATGACCTATTCCCCCTATTCAATTCGATTCCAGCCAAAGGGAAGGCCTGTGCTCCAGCAGTAGAGTCAATCATAGCCTGATTATAAATCAAACAATTCTAAATTTTTATACCGTCTCAGCAGTGTCGAGCATTCGGCACGACGTGAATGGCAGAAAACATGACAATGACTAAAACTAAACCTTCAGAACATTAAGGTCACATCATTAATTTTTAGGATGCCACATCTTAAACATGAATATCGGAACCTATGTGGGATCCCTCAGGTTATCGGTCTGTCACAGCTGTTTCTCTCTAAAGCTACTGGAGCAATTGAGTTGAAATCTGGTACATGTATGTAACTCGGTGACTCAAAGCCGGCTGTATGTAAATGTAAGGATATTAAGGCTCTTTAGGATAAATTAGAAAATAAAAATAATTCACAAACCAAACTGTCATGATGAAAAGTTTTGGGTGTAAATCGAAAAGCTTCGATTGCAGGCAACGTATGCGAGGAACTTTTTGTATTTAGAAAAGTAAGTAGACTATCAAGAATTTTTAGGGGCTCAATTTACAGCATTATACATTCTCCTTTATATAGAAATTCGATATATGCTATGTTCGATATTTTATATGATATCCAAGTGCCCCGCGGCGGCCAAGACATATCAGACTCGCGTGCAAAGGGTCCCAATCAAATATTAAATTATAAAAAAGATTTTTCATTTTATCCCTTCTCACATATTTTCCAGATATCTGTAGATAAAAAATTGTAGTCCCATCATCATTAAAACTTTTTATCTTGAACTTGTTGTTGAATATCTAAAATTCTTATGATTATCATTTACAACATGATTCACATATTATTGTTTGTAAACATCTTTTTTTACCTCTACAACGGACCGGCCCTCCTTCATGTTCCAAATTAACTCAATCGGTCTAGTAGTTTTAGAATAAAAGTCAACTGTGACAAAATCCTTTTTTGGTGTGTAACCCTACATATGAAACCGATTCACGCGGCGGCATGGCGCGATGCGGGGAGAGCTAGATAATATATAACTGACAAAGTATGTGCGCAAGACCCCCGATTTATTCATGGCCTCAATGTTATGTTAACATCTAGCCAATGTAATGTTAACGTATTATGTTTTTAAAAACGTGCTTCTTACTAAATCACAAAAAAAAAAAACTGTTTGCAAGCATTGATATAATAAGACGCCATTGTATGTTTACTAACAATGTGGGGACACAAGTAGATAGGTACAATGACAAAATGCAATTACATAATTAAACGTCATTGACGCAGAA